CCTAGTTACTATGTTCAGCATTAACAGTAAGGCAAGTAGGACCAAATAGGACAAGTCCTCTCTTCTTTTGAAAAATAAAGAACTTCAAAAAAATCTGTGTCTTGCTATTTTTATCTTGTCTCATCTACTTTTCTTTAGCTAGGCTTACATATCAGCTGAAATTCTGAAACCATGCCATAAATTATAGATGATGATGATGATGATGATGATGATGATGATGATGATGATGATAATTTCTAATGTGCTTTCTTTGCCATGGGTTGGACCATGTAGACATATTGACACTGCATCTTTGCTGTTACTTTCTGCCCATTCCTCTACAAATGTTATCAAAGGAAGTTTCTACCTGGAAAATGGAAATGGAGCCCAGGGATTCAAGAGGAGTTCCATAGCCATTAGGAAGCTGTGATGTCCATTATTTGACCCATACACTCTGCCATCTTTTCCATGTGAAAATTCGTAGAGAAAAGGGATAATGTCCGTGTAATCCAACATATTGAAGGAGACCAAGATTGGAAAGTGTGTTATTTGGGAAAGAGAATGAAATAGCCTGTGTTTGTGCAAACCTACCATATCTTCCTTTATGTGTTCAAGTCCTTTCAATTCTGGTTTTCAGTATCTCCAAAATTCAGTACAATTCTTTGAGATTATATTTGGGGTATATTTTCTTGAACCAGGAAAATTAGGTGCTAGGGATGTCTACCATATATCCCTAGCACGGGTGAGGGGTCAGAAAAGTCAAGAAGGCAACTGTGAACACATGACTGAAGCCCTACCCCTCTTTAAAGTGCATCACACAAAACACACATCAAAAAAGGGCAGGGTTTTGATTGTGTGGTTGCCATCTTTTTTTTATTCTCCTGCCCCCCATGGATGCCTCTGAAGGTACCCGATAATTAACATTGGGTGCAAAGAGGGTAAATGGCCTGACTTTGAAATGCCTAGGTTTCCAAGTTTGGATGATTTCTTTCTGCTGTCATTGACGCAGTTATGCACGGTATGTGAGCAGAACCAATGTCTCTCTATCCCAGATAGAGAATTGAAACAGTGGAATATCATTTTAATATGCCTGATTGGGAAATGTCTTTTCCTGTGCCTAAAATGTCCTGGAATATTTTAGGGAGTACAGGGTGGTCCATGTGGCAGGTTCAGCTTTTTCCTCTAATTCTAAATCATGTGCTCAAGCACCTCACACTTGATGCAGCTGCTTCTCTGTACCTGGCGATTGGGCTGGCTCAGAGACTGTGTCTGCACACAGAGCTACAGCTCACTGAACCTTGGTTTACTGAAGAGAGGCCAACCTGGCCTCCCTGAGTATGAAAATGCTATTTTTTTGGAAGTGTGCATCATACATACAACAGCTGCTCATGACATGGAAAAAAGCACTCTCCATAGTTTACACATACAGTTATAAACTAGTTTGTCTCAATGCAAAAACAATTTTTGTACAGTAATGGTCTCTTATGGACCTTAGAATTAATAATGCAATATCATAGAAGGAAACTATAACCAAACTTTTAAAAGTCCCCAAATAGATTTTCAATTTTTGGAAAAAACACAAAGCTAGATGGAGATGATCTTTTTCAAGGCGTTGAAAACAATGTGGAAAGGGGACTGATATTATTTCATGAACATTCACTCCATTTTCAACAGTCGTGGCATGATTTTGAAACAACAAAGCATGCAGAATCTATTCAACCTCAATGACGACAGCAGAAAAAAAAAATATAAATATATCATGGGAAGTGAAACATTCCTCAACATTTTCAATTGTTTCCAGAATAAGAAAATGAACAAATATACTATAATATTCATTCAAGTCATAATATTTTTGTATAAAAAAGGCTTACAGATAGAAATGGTTCTGCAATTAATTTCAGGTTAAATACAAATCTTACCAAAACTTTCAACACCTAAGAAATATTTTCTTAGTTTTATCAGGCACCTGAAATGTTGAAAGTTACAATTAACTTGAGCTACCACCTCAGTTTCTGCAAAATATATTTACATTCACTGAGCAGAAGCTGATTTCCAAAATATCTCTGTTCATTGTGGATCACATCATTTAACAAAAAAGTTCATGAATTTGTTATATTACCTGAAGCTGGATAAGGAAGGAAATGGGAGTCTGGTAGACTAGATTTCCAAGTAGCCAAGTGATAAATTCAGCATAAAATGTGGCAACTTCTGCCATGTAAATTCACTAGGTTGGGGAACTATGGCTGAGCGTAGTGACCTGCTCCAGGCCATTTGATGTGTCAATGGCAGAATTGGAAATCTGATCACAGCCTTGCATTCATTCTTCAAAGAAAGGTAATAAATAGCTGTGCTTCCCCAATCTGGTGCCCTCTAGATGTGTTGGAGCTTGACATCCACAATCTTCTCTAGGATTGCTATCTGGGAATTGTAGGAGTGTTGTCAGACACATCTGAGGGCAGCAGATTGGCAGAGATTGGAACAGGAGCAACTGAAGTTCCTACTTACCGTCACACTTTTGGGATCAAAGGCAGGTTCTTTAGGTGGTTCTGGAGCTGGAGCTGGCGCAGCAGCGGGAGCCGGAGCGGCTTTGGGGGCTTCTTTCTTGGGATCAGGCTTTTTGGGAGGCATGAGTCTGGATTTCTTGCCAAAGCGCTGGGATCAAGAACCCTCGGGACTGCAGGGAACAAAAGGCGATCCTTGCGTCCACAGCTTATATACTCAGCTGTGGGTCTCGCACCCGAGGGGTGGGCAAATTGCGAAGACAACTGCTGTTTACTATAAAAGGAAGGCACTCCAAAAAAGCAGCCTCCCTCTCACTCAACAATTGTCCTTTGTCAAATGTGTTTGTCATCCACAGAGGCCTGGCCTGGCTCTCTGTCCTCTGATAGAGAATGCAGGCTGCTTTCGCACACCTGAGCTGGGAAGGCTGTAGAAAACACTTACTGAAATGGATTTTTTTTTTTAAGGGATTACCCAGAAAGAACCATACAGCTCTGTGCTGTCCAACCTGCCCCTATACTCAAGGGGGACAAAGTGTGTCTTTTTATAGGCAAGTCTACAAGTGCAAATGCCACAGATTCCTTTCAAGCTCTGGATTTACTTTCTGACACTTTCCCAGTGGAATAGTTGACTGCAAGCTGTTTGATCGACAGATGTGTGTCTTGTGTGTTTCACTGGCTGACCCTGCTGGAGAGCCTTATTTGGCTTTCCCTTCGTTTTATTACTAAGGATACCTTTTGCAATCTTGTCTTTTTCCCTAGGAACTCAAATTGTCTTTCAAAAATTAATTCTGTTGTATATTGAAATGACAGCACCTGGGTTCTTGCATTGTACTAAGTCAAAAACTGTTTGACTTTTGCTGAACAGGGTGCGGAAACCCAGCCAGCTTCAGTTTATTCAACAAAGCATGGCTAGATAATAATAGTTTAGCATGATGGATAAACCAAACCAGATTTTACAAACCACAATGACTGACTTTGCATATCGTGCTACGTCTAAACCAAACAAATCACATTATGGCTTGACATGCTAAACACCCAGTCGTGGTTTCATTCATAACCATGCATACCCATGGCTAACTTAAACATAATTTACTCAACCCAATTGTCTGGGTCCATCTAACATACTAAACCATAAAGTAACAACACAGACTAAGCCTGCAACACATTAGGCCTAAATTTAACATGGATGTCTACAGCAATTTTTACAAGAGTGGTTGCAATTCACGGTGTATTATTCATTTGCATGCATACGTTACTACTAAAACACTCCTATGCACTTTTTTGTTTAACGTCATGTTACATAATAAAAACACAGCGCAAAACCCTTAAGAATGTATTGGTCACAGTATATAGAAATGCTATCTGTTGACCAGAAGCTCCAACCAAGGGTCTGCCAATTTTGAGTGTTTGCTGCTGTGTCTGGCTGGCCAGCTAGTGTAATGATATTGTTAGGATATCATCCACTTTGCCTCTTCCTGAGCTAGCCAGGGCAATGGACTACTCTAGACTTCTGCTGAGGACTTCAGTGTCCACACTGAGGTCACTCAGATGGGAATGGCTCAGGATATCATGTCTGATATGACAACCACAGACTTGACCCAATTAGTATCAGGCCCCATTTATATGGCAGGCAATAAATAGAATTTAATTTTCTGTTCACCTGTAGTTGATGATCCGAAAGTGGAGGAGCTACTTGTAGTTAGTTGTCATGTGCAGATATTTCTTTGATCAGTTTTAAATTGGGGGCTGCTATAAACTTCTGCAGGGTGGAAGACATATTAAAATGGTCTAGCCTAAAGAGCAAATGGATTTCGATAGTTTCTGAAAGTGCTTGAGTAGTCTATGAGTGCTATACACCTTTTTTGTTTGAGCTCTCAGACTAGAGAGATAGAACTCTTATCTTAGGTCACACCTTCATTCTAGAGGTTCCATGACTCCAACATCCAAGAGGGGGGACTATTTCAGTATATATTCCTGTGGCTTATTAGCTATTCCCAAGAGATGGTATTCCCAAGAGCAGGCATGTGACAGAGAAGATGCACTTCCTAGATACCATCAGAAGACATTGCTTAATGGATGAGATATGTAGTGCACCCACTCTGTTGGATCTAATGGGGCAGGCAGAAATGATGGGGGAGAGGCTGTTGTTCAGGTAGTCAGGCCCTGTGCCATGAAGGGTTTTATAAGTGATAATCAGCACCTTGAATTACACCCAGAATTCAGTGGCAACCAGTAGAGCTTGCATAGCAGAGGTATTACATAGACATACCAAGATGTGCACAGCTGCCTTCTGGAAACAGCTGTAGCTTCAGAGTAGACTTTAAAGGCAGAATGGTCTTCAAGAATGTATTATAGTAGTTCACTTGTGAGGTAACCAAAGCATGAGTGACTCTGAGAGGAGATTTCTGGACCAGGAAATGGTGCAATTAGCGCACTTGATAAATTTGCGTGAAGGCACTTCTGGTCACAGCCACCATGTGCTCACTGAGCAGGAGTTGAGAGTCCAGGATGACTTCCAAATTACACAACAGTTCCTAATGGGAAAGTGCATCCCCATTCAGAACCAAAGATGGAAGACCACCAAGACCAAAAGAACTATGCATTCATAACCACTTGTCTTGTTGGGATTAAGTCTGAACCTTTTCCTCCCCATCCAGACTTGAATAACCTCCAGCTACCGAAACATGACTTCACCATTATACCTGACCCCATGTTGAATGATGTGACCCAGTGGCTTCATGAATGCGTTGAACAGGAAAGGTAAGAGCATAGAGCCTTGAGGCACCCTCAGGTCTAGCCCAAACCAGGGGCTTTGAGCTGGACCTCCCCCCACTTATCAACACTGACTGGAATTGGCTACAGATAATGGAGGAGAACCACCACAACACTATCCTTCCCACTCCCAGTCCTGTAGCTAGTCCTGAACGATACCTTCCTCAATTTAAAGCCAGCATTTCCCAAGAATGAATCTCCCATAGCATGGATTGAACTACATCACCTCCGAGGAAGCCTTAACCAACTAGGAGGGACATAGATCTAAAACATAGATGCCTGGATTAACAGAATGAAGGATCTTGTCTACTTCCTCAAATGTCACAGGGTCAAACACTTCCCAGGTAACCAGACAACTCAACAGGGGCTGCCTGACTGGAGTCCAGCTCAGATTGGATCCAAGCAACTTCGTTTACCAGATGCCTTAGAATATTTCTTGTAATGGCTTGTAGATATTATTGTGACCTGTCCCTCTCCAATAGCAAACAGATCACTTTAAACAGTGCTGTTAGCTAGCTATCTGCAGACCAAGATAAGAGCTGAAAAATACCTACATTTTGCCACTCTTATTGCCATGATGTAATGGTTAATATGGGCTCTTACATGTATTTGATAAGGTTTGCTGTTTGTTTTTCTCCAACGGCGCTCTAGGTATCTCTTCTGTTGTTTCATCTTCCAAAACTCCTCAGAAAGCCAAGGAGCACTACAGAATTGACAAACAGACAAAGGCCACATATGTACAATCTGATCCAAGGCCCTCATCACATACCCATTCCAGACGGAGACTATGTCAAACTGCTCATCAGACCCCTGGGGAAAACTCTAGGCTCCTTCTGAAACCATCCAGAACCATTAGTTGCCTGGGGCAGATTGATTGAATGTCTCCTACCTCCCTGATGGGGGAGACAGCACCAGCAAGCCAAAAAGCAACCACTGATCTGACGATGACAGATAGTGATATTCTTCACCTTCTGATCACATTGCAATTGCCCCAAGACAAAAATCAGATCAGATGTGTGACCATCCATGTGTGCTGGACCTTCTATACTCTGGGTCAAGTCCATGGTTGCCGTGGTGGCCGTGAACTCCTCAGCCACATGAGACTCTATGCAACATGCAGGCAAGCTGAAGTCTCCCAGAACTATCAGTCTTGGAGACTCCACTGCCAATTCAGTGTTGGTTGTAGTTGAGCAGCAAGGAGGCCATAACAACAACAACAAAAACACAACAAGCTCAATGGCTCCACTGAACTGAGCTTCAACCATGGTGTCAACCCTTCAAGGTAGACCCAGTCAGAAACAGACTCCACACAAATGCTGGAATTTTACTTTATTGATATACTGTAGGCTAAAGTAACAGAAGCTTGAAAGCCTGTGTTTTCTCTTCCCTTCCTTTTATACCCTAGTTGAGTTTCTTTTTAACGGTTTCTTCATTTCCCAGTCTTAAGACATGTTTTTTAAAACTGTTGCTGTATAGTTCCTCCAACAACATCTGTGTGTCTTTCCACACACGGGGGCTCACATCTAATTTTCTATAGCGCACAGTCTCTGAAAACCAGTAACTCCTCCCAGATGATAACTGCCATCACACTCCCCATACCCTGATGTCATGGTTGGTGTTATTCTTGAAACCCATGAGGGCATAGCTCCATGTAGAGAACACCCCCTCTAAGCCCACCTGGATCTCAGTTATACATGCCACATGAACTGCTTCATTCACGATAAGATCATGGATGAGAGGAGCCTTATTACATATTACCTGGCATTTAACAGCATGGGCAGAGACCAGGACTACTATGGATCCAGTGACCTGGCAATGGAGATGAATACAGGAAGCTGGAAGGTGAAATCAGTATCTAATCAGTATCTGCTTTCCCCTCTGCCTATCACCACTTGGATGTTACTGCCTGCCCTGTCTCCTCCATCAGCCCCCTCCCCTCCAATTCCCACCCCCTCCCCTAAATCCCAGGAACGCTCTAACATAACTATCCTCAACTATCCAACCAACCATCTGTAGCCCACTATTGATTCACAGATACCGCCTCCCCGCCCCCACTTTTGCTGTAGCATACTCAACAGATGCAGGGGCAGCCAGGTCATTGTGAAGACTGCCCAAACACAACACAGTCCTGCTCCATACATTGCTTGCACCCCTTGCTAGCCCAAATCCCTGTAGGGTTAGCAGCTGGCACACTCCTGACTACATTCTTAACCCAGAATACTAAAGCAGTTCAGGATCTTAACCCTCCAATGATCAATTATGGAAACAGTCCAGAAGCAGTCCAGCAGGCAAGCTTCATGAGCAGTTGATGGAAGACCATCCTCCAGAATGGTGCTGGCAGGCAGAAAGCATGTGGTATGCATGTGTGATGGAATGGAATCATGAAGGGCAGACTCAGGGAGAAAAACATTTTCTTTCATCTCCTGAGTCGCGGGGGAAAGATAAGAGGATGAGGCTGGCACCTCCCTGAGGAATTCACAATGTTGTGGCTGGGATTGCTTGGGAGCTGGGGTTTCAGTCTGGGGAGATTTTTGCTAGAGGGTGTAGCTAA